TGATATCTTCGGTATGGCTTAAACAATTACTGTTACTAAACTTTGATTTTGATCGCCGAAGTTTTACTGATTGAAAAACCACCCAAGCATAACTATTCCGTACTTTCTTCGAAAGTCGGAACAATAATACAACGCGGCACATTTGGGTTCATTTTATCAAAAACGTTTCGTAATAACTTGTTCTAGATTCAAGATTCTTCTCAGCCGGATTAAATAGCCGCTTACGCGTTAAAAGCACGAAATATACATCGCGTTAATTATTACTCCTGCGATAAACAAGGGTATTGCAATCGGGTACTTTGGGACTCATTGGACTCCGGTGATACCTTGTTCATATTCTTGAAATTTTATAGTGTCTCTTGCACACTTAACCTGGTTATAACGAATACGCCTGGGACGGTAAAGGTCCTGGGTTCTCTGACCAGGACTATTTTTTCAAAAAAACTTCGACCTGTTATTTGTCTGCTTATGATTTGTCGGCTTAGTTTCGATATCTAAGAATCTTTTATTTCAGCTGTAAACAATTTTTTACTACAGTTGTTTTTGGCATTTTCAAAATCCGGCCGAATCGAAATTGGCGTTTCACATAGGTTGTAATTTTACCAACTCGATTTTGTTAAAACTTCGTTTTTTTTTAATTTATTTTTTGTCTTTCTTTTGGCTTAAATCGCTTTTTAATTAATTTAGACGTCTGTTAATGCGTCGTTTGATGGCCGAAAAAATTTTTGTGTACGTAAATGTTCTGAGGAGAAGAGAGACTCAAAAACTTCAAGTTTTTTTTCGGCATGAAGGGTTTCTGCTGAGGTATTTTCTGTTTTGTTACCGCTTGGGAAGTTTCGTTCCGATAATGATTTTGCCTTATTTTGTGTGGGCTTGTTTTTTAAAACTGTTTTCATTCTTTTTGATGGATCTAGTTGCTTATATAGTGATAAAACATCGATATTACGCTTTAACATCAATATTATGGTTTTTCGGTTTTCCATTGAGCTCTCGGTTCAGTCTGCGAATTGTGTAAAACACCTTGATTTCAGTGCATCGTTTTCGTGGATACTATTTAGGTAGTAAATGTATTTTTCAAATAAGGTTTTGCCGCACAATTTGGTTGATTTTCAGCTAATTGGCTGTCGGCTGTATTTCTTTCGGCGTATTTACCCAATATTTTTTTCTAAACATTTTTCGATACTAATGAGATATTAAAGTCTTTGACCCCAAGTTTAAGTTTTTGAACGCTCAAATTCAACGCCACTTGGAGTTTTTTTATATAAAAACTTGATTTTCATATTTTTTTGTTTTTCTAAATTTTTTTTCAACGATAACAACGTTCGAAGTCATAAATTTCTCAGAAAAAAAATCCAATTTTTTGTCTTTTACAAATTGTTCAATCGCTTGTATTTCTTGTCAGATGCGATTCAAAGTGTAATTGAGTGATTTCAAAGTGGAAAAATGTTCTCTATTATATTCTCTGTAAAATTGTTCTCTATTCAAAATGAAATAGAGAATAGATTGAAGTTATTTTGCAAAAAAGAAATGTTATTTAAGATAGCACACATTTTTGTATTGCAAGTGGTGCGAAGCCCCGCTTTGCATGTGTTTTTGTTTTACTCTTGTGATTAGCGCGTTTTCATGAGTTGAAGACATAAAATTTCAAAAAGAAAGCCAAATTCTCCAAAGATCTGATTTTTTTTAAATGTGGTTCCTGCAAATCGCAGAGGAGCTATCAGTAGGCCGTAACAGTCCTGTCGATGATAGTCCATGAGTATTATCTCCCCACATTCCAGACTGTGTTATTTCGTTGAGCGAAATTCTTTTTAGCGACTCATGTCCGTTATGCTTCCAGAACTGTCACTTAGTACCACTATTGCAGCCAAAACTGGTCAGGCTGTGGTAGGCATGAAGCTAGAGGTCAAGTGAGAGCTCGTCCTCACACACTATCATTGCCATGGCATGGGATCGATTACACGATCTGACGATTTCAAAACCTTACCACTATGATTACCACTATGCTTAGCGCCTCCAAAATTTCTGTCAAACAATGTGATTTTTTGGTGGAAATAACATCAAGCTTCCAATAAATCCGAACAGCTCAAAAATCATAGGTTTGATACAAGACATGCTAGTGTGGATTTCAACAGGATCCAAAAAAAAACTAAATTTTGAGGTCAGAAATGGTGGTGGTCTCAGCAGGTAAAAAACTAAAGCCAAGAAAGGGTTATCGCGAAGTCAACTAAATAGGATTCTGTAAATTTTGCCGGTTAGTCATATAGTGATGATGGTTTTGTTACTGTCGATATTGTCCGGCTGAACAGTTTTTTCGGACCGTCCAGTTTTTCATCAGTTACTTATTTTATGGTATGTTGTGAGCACTTGATTTCTGTTAGGATATTAATGGAAACTGAAGGTAACATAAATTTTTCATCGATGCAACATAAAAGATATTTTCTAAGTTTTTGACGCCACGGACCGTACTAAATCCATTTTACAGCATCAATTTCTGTCAAACAATGTGATTTTTTGGTGGAAATAACATCAAGCTTCCAATAAATCCGAACAGCTCAAAAATCATAGCTGCTCATAATCTCAAAGTCACGTTAGCCATGCTTGTTTTGATGATGATACCAGTTTTCCCTTTGTTGAATTAAATTAAAATCCATTTCGAATGAGCTCAATTTTCTGATAAGTTATTTCTACCATTTTTGAAATCCCGAGTTTGGCTTTAGTTGATACCGAAGAATTGTTTTGATTGCTAGTTGTAATTATGGTTTATATAATTGGCTTGAAATTGACGGAATACTTTGATGGAAGACTTATGGTTGATAGAACGTCATGTGCGTCATGATTGTCAGATTTCATATTTCTGCCCTCATATTTCATATTGCTATGGTTAAAAAAGTAATTAATGTATGAAGTTTATTTATAACCATACAAACTAACACATCCGCTGATTGCAAAATTGTTTGTTCGAAGTTAGTTTTTTACCTGCAAAGGAACGTGCTCCTACAATTATCTACCGGAGTGGAGTGACCTTTAAAAACTTGTTTAAAACATGTAAAGATTTAATTGCGGTGTTGAAAATAGTGAGGTCGTAACAAGTTTCGAATGAAATGATAAATTAGCTGCAACATCAAATGAAATGTTTTGGTAACTGCTTAACTTAATTAAAAGAATCGAGACTATCTGACGATGTAGTCACAATCAGCAAAGGCCGTACAACACGGGTATTCAAAAGTTCAAGTTACGGCGAATAGTTTACTAGTAACTAAAATGAAAACTATGATCTCCCACAGTTCTCTTGTAACCCCATAGGGGTTGGCGGCTGTCTTATCTGATTTTCAAATCCTTGTAATTTTGATAATTGTTAATGATTGATGGGCGCGTTAGTTATTTATCTTCCCTTGTTTTCCCTTGTGTGTAATTTTTACAGGCATTGTTTTCTTTTTTGTACTCTAATAAATATTCGTTTACGGAAACAATCCATTTTGTACTGACCATTAACTGTCTAAAAATGAGCTGATAAGCTCGGATTTTAATTAAGATTTCATGTCTCAAAATTTTGTTTAAAAAAATCAGCTTTTGACATACAACAAACATATCAGTATGTTGTATATTGCACCAGTGAGCTGACTATTACCACTTGTTGGTTGGCTAAAACTAAGTTGTTGCACGATGATGCAATAGGAACTTTCAGGTTGATAGCTAAGAGTTCCGCAGCTATATATAGATCCGTTTGGTTAATGACTTATCATTATCCGTGCTCATTTTCTGGTTTAATTATCCAAGTCCATTTTTTTCAGCCCCGAAATTATATAATTGTTTAAAAATGTCCACTTGTTACATGTAAAAGAACGTTAATTTCACTTGTATAGGTCTTGATGATTTTTTGTTTGTTTTTTTCACGAAAAAGTTTCAACCAAAAAGTGTCAACTGTAAATTGTTCTTGAAATTCAAAGAGTTTTTCACTCAGATAAATTTTTCTTCTTCGAAAGTTCGAAAACTTTCAATCAATTTTATTGGTGTCCTTGTTTTTTACACTTATCCAACCTTCTGTTGGTGATGTTTATTCTTAGAGAGTCAATAATGGCCTCCCATAATGGGCTGAACAGCTCGTTGTTGATATAATTAACATCGCGGGTAAAATGCTCTCAACTTAATGCACTATTTATCATCATATCGGAAGATTGATGTGGATCTCAACTGGAAGGTGTGGTTCACACCACAGTACAGGGGTGACAAATATAGCTTTTTTTGATGACATTTATTTCAGACGCTTACGTCAGGAAATGTTACTGTCATAAGTGACAATTAAACGAGGTTTAGATTTCCACTGTTATACCGGTTACGTCTCAGAATTATGCTGATGAGATGAGGGAAAATTTCAGGAAACTAATTGTTGCTGTAATGAACGTGTTGAAATTAATTTTGATATGTTTGATGGACAGCCTTCTTTGCATTGAGTTTTAATTTCATTTCAGACTGACAAGAAATGTTTTCAAAGCAGAATTATAAATAGCGTTTGATTGACCTTGGGATAAACGTATGAACCCTAAGTTTCTGATCTTGACTTCAGTGAATAATTTATCGAAATAACAAACGTGCCAAGCTGGGCAGTTTGTGCTCATACACCTCGTTTCTGATCCCGCAGTTGCAGAATGTTGAGTCAAAATACTTGAATTGCCAATGTTATACCTAATGAAGAAACACCTATTATGAGGTAAGTGTGTCTGTATCGAGTTGGTAAGGTGGTTAATGTGTAGTCATTTGAATTTATTATATGAGGTGAAATCAGCCATGAATGAATAACCTTGAAGTTCATAATTATGTTTTGATCAATCGACCCTGAATAATGGACTCCTTCTTTGCGCTGCATCAATAATAATCAATGACAAGTACGTTGATTTACTTCTTATTTTATGCGTCACAGTCAAATTATATTCTGACAACTTTGACCTCTTCTGATTTCAAATGTTTGAAGCTTGAGCCGGCTTAGTACTGTTTCGGATGACATGAATACTTACGATTCATCTTGGGGTGTGATTGGACCTGGTAACTGCCCAAACTGGGACATTATGTTCCGACTCATAGTTCTTGGAGACGCAGATGTCGGCAAAAGCTGTCTCGTCCGTTCTTTCGTCGAGGGAAACTACAAACCCACTGATTCGACAGTCGGTGTCGACTTCTCTTTCAAAGTGATCCCCCTGGTCTCCGCCCCACGCGAGTGCACGGTGAAGCTACAGATCTGGGATACGGCGGGAGCCGAGAGGTTCCGAGCAATTACTCATGCCTATTACCGCAGCACGGCCGGTGTTGTGTTGACATTTGACGTGACCTCCCGTCCTAGCTTTGCCGGCATTCCAACCTGGGTCCAACAAATTCACATGCACACCGGAAACCCAAACGTGACCATCGTTCTGGTTGGAACCAAGATCGATATGCCTCACAGAAGAGTTGTCTCTTCAGACGAAGCTCTCACTTTAGCGCAACAATTGAAACTACAATACATGGAAGTTTCAGCGAAGGAACTGATAAATGTAGGAAGAACGTTTTCATTTTTATCTAGTGCAATATATCAGAAGTATGAACAGGGTTTGCTTTCTCGGAATTCAGATATAAGCGGGGTTTCGTTCAATTCCAATTCGTTATCATTCGATTTATCTGGAAGTTTGGACTCTCGCATTCACAAAGTATGTCTTGATAAATCCCGAGATGAGATTGGCGACTCATGCTGTTCGGGTTTTCGTTCTACTAACACTAAGCCTGCTCAACGTTTACATAACTCAACTGCCAAGCCTATTTAAATTTTGAACTGCAATTGTAGAACACAGATAAAAATTTAAGTGAAATTATTGCAATACTTTTTACAGGTCTTATCACTGAAAGGGAAATTTCATTATTTGCCAAAGAACAAGCTTTACAGTTTTTTTAGTGTTTGAATGCGAACTAAAATTTCAGTAATATAATAGCTAAAATAGAACAAGAAAAGCCGGTTGCTGTGCAGAAGCAGCATGTAGAAAGTTCCGATCACAGTTACTTAATTGAAAGGCATAATAAAAAAAATAATAATCATAATTCTTATTAATTGTTTTCTGAAAATCGTTTTTTTTTTTCATATGGGCGAAGGTACTAAGAGCTGGCTTAGAAGTAACTACCTATGGCTGTATTTATATTTGCGATCAGCTTAGTGTAATATTACGAACCTTCTTTTTTTCTAAACGAACTCGCAAATAAAAGTGTTCACTTATTTAAAAAATTTCATTGTAGCATTGGAAATTGTATAGCATCTGTTCTCTGCTTTATTTGTGTATAGTGCTTGGTGACTATTAAGCTTCCGTATTTGAGTTGTTAGTGTGTGAGACTTAATTTCTAGGTTGCAGGTTTGAATCGCGGGTGTCGAATTTTTACTAACTCAAAGCTTATTTCTAATTTTTTATTGCTCTTTATAGAGCTATTTTTTGTCGTGTTCTCGCCAGTGTTTGCCTCTGTTAACAAGTTTAAGCTCTAGTAAAGTTAATCAAAATGAAAAGTGACTCTTTGCTAGAAATTTGTCCTTAAGCGACTCGGAAAACTTTTTAGAAATGTTTAATCCGGATCAAATCATGACTGAAAGTTTTTTTTAAATGATTTTGCGATCCACAACATGAAACAAGAACGCACAGTTCCACTTCATTTTCTGTGGTCGAAACAATAATAGTCGGAGCAACAGTGGTCGGAACATCGAGTTTGGATGATTCAAGATAGAACCACTCTAAGTTTTACCTGGCCGTTATTAAAGTGTGGCTTGTTTTAGCTAATACTTGTAGCTGGTAATTGAATTCCAAATTTAGGCTCGTGTTTGATAAAAACAGGCATAATGAAAAAATAGTTGGGAGCGAATCTTTTAAATTTTTTTCTAGACGTTTCGGAAAAAGTTTTCGCTTTTCCTAAAAACCTTAGTTTTTCTCAAGCTACTCAACCGATTTTCAAAAAAATAGTGCTAATCGAAATTCCGCGCAGTTCCCTGTGTGCCTGCATAATCATCTAGTATTTTTCTACCTCCCCCGTTTTCTGCAGTTTGCAAAAAAGTCTGTGGGGTAATATTTGAATCGTTTTTTTTTTTCATTTTGCTGAAAACTGCACTCCCAAATCTAAGATTTTGGATTCATTGGATAGAGAACGGGTTGTGGGACACTCCTCTGCTTAAGCGGCTCTGCCCAATTTTTTTTGTAAACACAATTATTCTCAAAAACTACCCACCCAAATCTGAGACTTCGAGTTCAATGGATAGGACGGGTTGTGGGAAATTTCTCGGAAACAACCCTACCAAATCTGATGTTTTAATTTCAATCGGAAAGTTGAGTTGTAGAAGCTCACCTGCATAAGCGGCTACGCCCAATTTCTTAGCATAAACCGTTATGACCCTCGGCAAAGTCAAATTTTTGATTTTTCGCCCGTTTTTTTTCAAACTTTTTGACTTTTCTCAAAAATAACTCACCCAAATCTGAGATTTCATTTTCAGTTGTCAGATCAGGTTGTGGGAAGTCCTCTTGATTTGTTGGTTACTCCCATATGTTTTTACACAAACTTTTTGGCCATCTGAAAAGTCAAAATTTTGATTTTTGATCGTTTTTGAAACTTTTTGACGTTTATCATTAATAACCAACCCTTTCAAATCTGAAGTTTTGAGTTCAATCGAAAAAACAGGTTGTGTGAAGCCTACCCGTATAATAGGCTATGCTTAACTTATTTTCCACAAAAATTTAAGGTTTTCGGAAAAGGCAAATATTGAATAATTTGATCATTTTTTCTCGAATTTTCTCGAAAACTACCCTCTCAAATCAGATTTTATCCAAAGAAAGGGGGAAGAGAAGCTGTCAAGAATGAACGGCGGCGTCTAAATTTTCTATGAAAAAAGTTATGGTGTTCAGAAAGTCAATGTTTTGTTTTCTTGTTCATTTTTTTTGAAACTTTTTGATTCTTCTCGAAAACTACTGCTGAATCTGATATCAAGGGTTTAATCGAGGCCACAGGTTGTGCGAAGCCTCTGTGCACAAGCGGCTACGCTTTGAAGTTTGTATGAAAAATGTTTTGTCTTCAGGAATTTTCGAAATTTGCAAAAAAAATATCCGTATTTTGTTAGAGAAACAACAGGTTTTGGGTGAAGCCAGTTTTTTGTAATTAACTATTTCATTTCTGATCAGTACAATAAAATCTAATTTTTTCTAACAGGTACCTCCAGCTTTCGATGGCTCCTAGTTATGTGTCGTAAGTTTACCAAGTCATATGAACGAATGAAAAATACAATTGCTTTAATTGTTGCCGACCACTTGAAAAATGTGGAGGAACATGGTTTTTGTGTGTGCTCTTTTTTTTCTTTTCGTGTTCCACGCAAAGGTACTACAAATAATCATCTGAATGGGTCGAGTGATATATCATGTCGAAGCCGTTTCGGTCATGATTTGAATGCCATTAAAAAATGTCCAAAAATAGAAATTTTCTCAGTTTCGAGAAAAATCGGTTTGAAATTTTTGATTTTTCGTCTGACTTCGAGCGAGTAAAGCTAGTGAGCTCGCTTATTTATGCTCAATTTGGGCCTTTTACAATAGCTTATTTATGCTTAATTTCATATTTTCTCAGGTACAATTTTTAATGCCATTTTTAATGCCAAGAATTTGAAAAAATATAGATTTTTTTTGTTTTTCCAGTCATTTTCTTCGAAAACTGTTTTTCGATTTGTCTTTTTTGCTATATCTGTTGAACGTCCCTTATTTCTAGTTGTTTTGCTTAGATCCTTTAGGTCCACCAAGAAAAAACTGCGCTAATTTGAAAAAAAAATTTTGTGTGTTTTTAAAGACTATGGTCGGAATATTCTTTGCTACTTGCAAAGTAACAGGCTTATTTATTTATGGTTAAGCACAATCTACCTCTAGTTTTAAGTGATTGACCTGTATCTTGTCAACAATGATGGCTCGATTCCGTTTTTGTTTCATGTATTTTTTTTTATCATTTTCTAGTATAGTAACAGATTGGTTTTTTTTATCGTTTTCGTTAATTTAATTTTGGTTCAATTGTTTTGCCCAATTTATTTTTAAACTCAGCGCTATCTAGGGCAATTAAAATTCGTGATCTGCAAGTTTGATTGACCGCTTGTCTGGTTGATTATTTTTTGCTGTAGTCGAATGTCAAATTATACCATCCCCCTGAAATACGGGCTGTTTAAAAGTGTTTTGGGTCGAATTCCTTGATCAGTTTTTCAATTAGTAAATTGTTGCGGTTGACATTATAAATAGCAGCTATTTCCCTATTTGACACTCCAGCGATGGTTTATTTTTAAATAATGTGTTTTCTTTCAGATGCAATTGCTGGATAGTTTACACCTGATAGCTGACCGATTAACTTTTTCTAATAAGAACTACTTAAATTTTGCGAAGCTCTTTATTTAAACTGGATGCAATTGATTTGTTTCACATTGGTTAAAAATGAGTTTAAAGTAGGGATTTTTTGGGCTCCGCGAGTGTCTGCTCATGTATGTCGGCTTTGTGACCGCTTCTGAAGTTTTGTCTCGATGCTTTGCTTATTGTTCCGACCATTGAAAATGGGAGGAACTTGTATTCGGGCGTGTTTCAGTATTTTGATTTTTCGTTTTCCGGATCTGGGTTGAGTGATATATCATATTAAAGCCTTTTCAGTCGTGATTCGAGCCACATAAAAAATTTTCAAAATGTTTTGCCAGTGTCGAGAAAAACCGGTTTGAAATTTTTGATTTTTTTTGTCTTTATTCGAGCAAATAAAGCAAGCGAGCAGGCTTACAAGCTGAATTATGCCTAATTTAAGACCTTAATACTTAATTTTAAGCAAGTAAAACTAGTTTTTGGGAACCTAAAATTTCACAAAATTTCTTGAACTTCTCCCTGCAAAATTTTTTTTTAGTTTTTCTTGTCATTTTTCTGCAAAATTTTTTGTCCAATTTGCTTATATAACTCTGGCTGTCTAATATGTCTAAAGGATAATTCTACGTCAGATACTTTTATCACACCAAGCAAAAAAAAACTACACTAATTTGGAAAAAAAACTTTCTAAACCGTAGTTTTCCAAAGACTATGGTCCTTGTTTAATAATCAATTGTCTTTCTGGCGTTTTTTCGAAATGGAAAATTTTGGTACATCTTTTTCGACTTAGCGGCTTTTGACTCATTTTTTGTCGGCTAGATTGCCAGGCTGTTTGTTCTGTGTGGCAAGCTGAAGGTATCAATTTAAACCAAATCCTTATGGCCATAGTTTTTCATCATTTCCTTTTATTCGTGAAATGGCTTTCATTGGCGAGTTATTAGATTTACGTTATGTATGAAAAAGGCTGGTCATAATAGGAGGGTGGGTCGAAAGTTTTCCATGAAATTACTGAGAGAGAAGTCCGGCAAAACAATTTGAGGCTTTTGTAGTTTATTTTTGACGTCAATTTAGTTTCCGCTCCATAATTTCTTTTGTTTGGAATTAATCGGCCTTCAAAAAAGGAATGATTTTCCTTTGACAACTACGTTGAAAATTTTTCCAAGAATCGAAACAGAAATTTCATCTGGGAAAGAAAAGCGACGATCTGAAAACATTCAAAGTTTAAATTGTTAAATTTCTGTTTTCAATGCAGCTTGTATGAATTCTTAAAATGGCAGTGATTTATGGGAATCTAGTGATTTACCTAATAAAGAGTGTTCAAATGCTACTGGGTTACTTAGAAGTAACTAAGCTAATGTTAAAAGAATAAAAAAGAAGAGATTGAATCAAAACTGTTTTTTCTATTGAGACTAGAAAAGTGACGCGAAGTTCAATGGACTTCGAATAGACACAAACTAACAAGTATACAATTGAGAAATAGAGGTCAAACTAAAAAATTTAAAACGTAATTCACAACTTTCTACAATGCTGGAAAAATTCATGCCTGACTTAAAAGAATAGAAGCCAAATCGCATACATACTCTATTCTCATTTTGTCTCACGGGCAACAGAAGTTTGAGACAAAAGTAACAAACATGTATATCTTCTCTTGTAAATTCCATGGTACATATATAAATGTACAGGGAGATGATATGGTCAAAGATATACAGAATATATACAATTTACTACAGATATTTACAGGTTGAAATTTTACAATGGGGATTATGCATAAATAAAAAATATGAACAGTGAAGAAACTAAGCAGCTAGTCTATAAATGATAAAAAATCGGACGGGTGATCGTTTCCGACGGGTGATGTAACAATAGTAATATCAATAATCGATAAAATGAGGTTAAATTGAGCACCAATGGAAAATAGAGTTGTAAATTAGTTTTGACTTGAGAGAGTATGGTCAGGCAAGGTTAAATTTCTTGTGTAATAAGTCAGCTTTCTTTCTGGTTTCAGTGTCGTTAATCGATGATATGTCCCTTTCTTGATCTTGTTCGTCTATCTGTGTTTCCGTTGAAAACAACCCTGCCACCACTATTTGTGGGTCATCGATGGCATCGGAGTAGCATTCCGTAGTCTCATCCAACAAGGTAGGTTTAGCTCCAAAATTGCCCAGAGGTGTTAGAAGTGCTGAAGGAGAGTCTGTTTGTGACATTTCCTGCCCGAAATTCCGCAGGGTTTTGGATGAAGCATTATCGTTATTTGTGGTTCTTCCTTTTCTTCATCCAGTTTAACTATCACAACTGGTGATGCTCCATCCACAAATCTCCTCTCACCGTGAAACTTAGGGGGCAGGGTTTCTGTTTTGTCAGGAAAGACCGCCCGAGTTGGTTCCAAAGACTGTTCTGGCGAGCTTTCAACGGAAATGGGATTCTCGCTCGTGCCCTTCGATG